TGTTTCATATAATTTTATTGATGAAAACCAAAAGACAGTTTAGGAAGTTTTATCCAATTTGCTATCTCAGCTTCCCCTCATGGATCTTACAGATGCTGATAAAAAACATTAGGTTAATTACTAAGAGACCAGGGAAAGGCAAAAGGGAGACTCAAAGGACTCATCTCAGTTGACCAAGAAAAAGCTGCCAGGTTTGTGGATGGCAGTTCCAAGGTGAATGAACAACATCCTATTTGCAAAGATGCCACTCTGATCGAAGAAGGTGAAAACATGGTCAGCGCAGTGGGCTGAATCCCATGCTGTTTTCCTAGCAGCAGTGGAAGAATTGAAGAGTGGTCAAAGCCCCTGTGTGTGCGTTTTTCCTGACTCCCAGGCAGTGGCCAAGAGCCTGGCATGGGTTTTGTGGTGATAAAGAATCAAGGAACTTCTACTTAACCAACTTTACTTCTGCTGGAGTAAAATCAGAAACTCCGTAAACACCCTCCGCATGACAGCAAAATTTAATGTTGAGTATTATCAATTCCTGTTGGAAGAGTGAAAAGTAACAGGTAGTTTTGGCAGTTCCTCTTTATTGATAGTTGCTTTGATCAGAATGATACAGTCAGCCTTCCATGTCTGTGTGTTCTGCATTCATGGATTCAACCAATTGCAGATTGAAAACATCCAGGAAAAAAAAATTCTACAAAGTTCCCAAAAGCAAAACTAGAATTAGCTGCATGCTGAGTACTATGCTGAATCCATGTGAACGAAGTGGTGTGTAGGCATTGTATTAGGTATTATAAGTGATCTGGAGGTGACTTAAAGTATAAGGAGGATGTGCATAGGTTATATGCAAATATTATGCCCTTACAGATCAGAGACTTGAGCGTTTGAGGACTTTGGTATCTGTAGGTGGTTCTGGAACAAACTTCCACAGATACCAAGGGATGACCATATATGCTTTGGATTAAGTTGTGTGGTAAAATTCTTTTGTACACGGGGAAGTGGATTTAAAAAGAAAACAAGTTAATTCTTGACTTTCCTATTTATAAATGGGAATTTCTGGGGAGTGGTTATCAACTGGAGTTTTAGGGGAATTTGAATGATGACTCACACTTTCAGTCTGGCGGGTTTTCTATTTTACTAGGAACCCTTGACAAAGACTCTCTCTTCTGACCAAACTTTAGTCAGTCTCCTGAGTCCTTTCTGATTAGGCCCAGCTTTGGGCTTCTCTCTCTTCTAGTAGAATCCAGTTAGAGCAAGAACTTTGCCAAGTCAGTTGAGAGAAGGCCCTCATCTTTTGTATCTGATCCTTTTATCTTATATCTGATCACCCTGGCCTGCCTTCAGGAACAATAGTATCAAGTCATTTTAGCCAGAAACCCCTTCTCCTTGATATTTCTTTTGATTTTTCATCCATTGACCCCTCTTCTGCCCCTCTTGCTCCTTGATTATAAATTCCCGCATGTCCTAATTGCACTTGGAGTTGAGTCCAGTCTCTCTCCCCCACTGCAACACCTGTTGCAGGGGCATATATATATATATGACGGATTTTCGCTCTATCAACAGGCTGCAGTGCAGTGGCGCGATCTCAGCTCACTGCAACCTCTGCCTCTGGGTTCAAGTGATTCTCCTGCCTCAGCCTCCTGAGTAGCTGGGACTACAGGTGTGTGCCACCACGCCCAGCTAATTTTTGTATTTTTAGTAGAGACGGGGTTTCACCATGTTTGCCAGGATGGTCTCAGTCTCTTGACGTCGTGATCCACCTGCCTTGGCCTCCCATAGTGCTGGGATCACCAGCGTGAGCCACTGCGCCCAGCCCATAAAAAATTTTTTAACATGCTGTTTGGAGACATAGTAATTTTATTCAGCATCTTAGTTGGATATGAAGAACATGGAAGAAAGAAATCAAGTAAGTGGTGAGGAAAAGTTGTTCCCATCTGATCGGGAATCCAGAATTTCAATCACTCCAAGAGATGATAGAAGCTAAAAGAAGTTACAAGATAATTGCATAGGAGGATTACTCTGATTCCTAGGAAACATGGGCCAGGATGCCTTATCTCAGTGGAGGTCATGAACTCCTGTTGCCATAGTCACTGTGAGAAAGAGCTTGGCCTTCTCACCTGTGATTCAGGTAGAATCATTCTGGAAGCATGTAATCAGTCCTCAAAGTTTGTGTCCTGGTTTTGAATCTCTGACATATTCTGGTCCAAATTTTTTAACCCAGGTCCATTTGTCTCAATAGTTGGGTAGGTGATATACTTACTCTAACAAGATAAAAAAAAAAGGACAGAGATGATAAAATAAATAAAACCACGGTAATAGTACTACTGAATTAAGTTCAGGATCATCTGTTTGTGTTTTATCTGTGTTTGTTTTTTAACCCCTTTTAATGTTAAAAAGAATTTGATATACAATGTTAGTCATGTGATTTTAAGTTTAAGGGTGAATAAAAACTAAGATGACCTTGGAAGCAAGAAGGTGGCTAATCATCACTGTAGGCTTACCTTTTGAGAGACCTCCATGGGATGCCAGAATAACTTCTTTTGCTTTTTAAAACTTAATTCCAGAAGACATCATATATGCATGACAAAGATAAAAGCAGAAGTCTGCATCATTTCTGTGTTCTTAATAAATCTTATTGCCTAAAATATTAAGGAATGTTGAATTAAATATGTGTATTTTCTTTTAGCACATTAAAGATGCCATTCCATTATCTTCTGGATTTATTGTTTCTGAATTCAGCTGACAATCTTAAAAGGCAATGCATCTTTTCCCCTGGCACCTTTTTCTTTTTTAACTTAATTTTCTTTTTTTGAGACAGAGTCTCAATCTGTTGCCCAGGCTGGAGTGCAACGGTGCGATCTTGGCTCACTGCAACCTCCATCTCCCAGGTTTGAGTGATTCTCCTGCCTTGGCCTTCCAAGTAATAACTGGGATTACAGGCGCCCGCCACCACAGCCAGCTAAGTTTTGTATTTTTAGTAGAGGCGGGGTTTCAATATACTGGTCAAGCTCATCTTGAACTCCTGACTTCAGGTGATCCACCCGCCTTAGCCTCCCAAAGTACTGGGATTATAGGCGTGAGCCACCGCACCTGGCCCTGGCATCTTTTAAAGATTTTATCTTTTTCCTTGGTTTTCAGTGGTTCTACTAATGCACTGGGTATGGCTGATTTTGTATTTATCCTGATTAGGAGCCATAGAACTTACAGAATTTGTAATTTGATGTCTTTCATCAGTTTTGCAAAACTTGGAATCTTGGTTATTATCTTTTCAAATACTGTTTCTGCCCCATTCTCTCTTTTTCTGGGAAACAGAATACTGGCAGACCTTTTCATCATGTCCCATGTGTTTCTAATGCTTGTTTCTGTATTTTCCATTCTTTCCTTCTGTTCTTCAGTTTGGATGTTTTCTATTGATGTGCCTGCAGTGCACTAATCGTGTCTTTAGTTTTGTCTAACATCCAGAGCTCACAGCCTCATTTATTATACTTTTTACCTCTAGAGTTTTCATTTGATTTCTTTTTACAGATTTCAATACTCAGGTGAAATTTTTCATCTTTTTCCTCTGTTTTCTTGAAAATGGTCATCATAGTTATTTTTATTCAGGCAACTCCAATATCTGACTCATCTGTGGGTCCGTTTCTATTGTCTTTTTCTTTTTTTTCATTTATCTAGTAACTTTTTAATGAGATGCCAAATACAACTTCTAAAAAGTTGTAGAGGCTTCAAATGTTATCATTCTCTCACGAGGGTTTTCCCTTTCCTCCACAAAACCAAAGAGAGGAGTGGCCAATAACCTTAATCCAATCAAGGACTGTGTGGAGTGAAGGCTGGGCTGAAGTTCTGGTAGGGTTCAAGCTACCTTTGCCCTCCAGTTTCCAACTGGGAACATGGTGTAGGCTCTGCAGCAACCCACTTCCACCACCACCCTAGCAGATCTCAGACTCGAATCTTTGTTTTGCAGTCTATCAAAAACTTCTGCTTTCAGAGGCCTTCCATTTATATTTCAGTTTCTTGCCCCATACAAGCCTTGAATGTAGCAATTGTCCTTGGAATTTCCCCCTATGTCTCTGCAAAAGCTGTGTTGTTTTTCTGTCCCCAGCAGTGGCCTTCTGTGGTCTCAAAGTCTAAATTCTCAGCCTCATCCTTGTATCCAGAATTGGCAAAATCCGTCACACATCAATACAAGCCACTGTGGACATTAGCTCACTTGAAGGTTCCTCATTCTCTGGAATATCAAGTCCCCCCATTCTTACCTCAGCAGCTTCCACTGCCTTCAAACAGATGTTTTCTGACTTTGCTTTCTGGCTTTTCTAGTTGTTAGCTGGAGTCTTGGTCTACCGCAAGCTTCTCTGTCACACCTGACCGTGGACATTCAATTTCCTGATGGTCTACTATGTAACTGTAAAAGTGAAACTATCTTTGTTACTCATTTCAGAGAAAGCCCTCAGAAAAAAATGTCAGAACAGATTCTGTTGTTCTTCTACCTTGCTGCAATTGCTACTGAGCAATCAACGGGCTTGCTTCCTGATGTGCCAGAAGCCAACACCATGGCACTGGTTTTTGAGAAAAGAAAGGCTTTGTCGTGAGTTGACTGTCAAGGAGACATGAGGAAACCCTCAACTCTGTCTCCTTGAGCTGGGTTTTATAAGCATACGGTAATGACACATGATCTGATTAGATTTTGCGATGAGGTGATGCTGGGATGCTCATCTGACTGGACCCTGCCATGGGGTGATGCCAGGGCTTGATCTGATTGCATTCTGGATCTCACCATGCAGTGCCCATCTCTTAATTCAGTCCCTGCTTTGATTTGAGCACTCAGGTTCCGCCCCGGTTGCATGCTCGGCTCATCTGGGCATCCTCAGCTTACGTGTGAAACCTTCCTTCTGGGAGTCCATGCAACTGAAAAACAACTCACAACTTGGGTATATAAAAGGTGAATCAGATTGGTCTGATGCGGTTATACAGTTATTTAATACCTCTTTGTCAGAAGTCAAAATTTCCACAGATTTAGATTAAAGATCTATTGGCTTTTATTGATTCACGAATCAGGATGGCATCTTCTCTAAAAATTTAGAAACGGTACTCCAATGAGCTGGGCAGAGGAGGTGGGTTTTATAGGTAGAAAAGGCCTAAAGAAAGCAGAAACAGGGAACGAAAAGCGGATTGGTCACTGCAAGGTTACAGCAGTCCCCTCTTACCCACACACAGGTGGTATGTCCCAAGACCCACAGTAGATGCCTGAAACCTCGGATAGTACTGCACCCATATATATATATATACACACACACACTATATATATACACACATATACATATACACACACACAAATATATATATACACACACACACACTGCATTTTTCCTATACATGCATACATACCTGCGATAAAGTTTAATTTGTTAGGCACAGTAAGAGATTAACAGCAATAACTGATAATAAAATAGAAGCGTCACTGTTGAGCACAGCCTTGGGAATGGGGCCTTGAAAGCAGGCAGAGCTCCCTAGGTTTTGTAGTCCCTAGTGGCCGTGGACAGCATGGGGGAGGAAATTCCCGGGAAGCAGCCTAATTTCACCCCAGGGAAGCCCCTCGTGGGATTGTGGAGGGCGGGGTGAAAAGCCGCTGGTTTAGGGAGGGGGTCCAGCCTAGGCTGAGGGATGAGGTGGGTTGGGACGGTCCCGACCCTTCCCCCAGCCTCTTTCAAGGATTTTGGAGAAACAAAGCCAGGATCCATTTCCTCTTGATGGCTGGCAAACTGGGCCCGGGCGGGAGGTCCTGGAAGCCTGAGCCTGGGGCGGCGTCGGACACCAACTCCCAGGTCCTCGCCCCACACGGCCACATTCTCGCCCAGCCCCGCCTCCATTTAGCTCCCCCGTCGCGGCTCCGCCCCGCGGTAACCACGCCCACACGACCGTATCCCCGCCCACGACTGGCTTCGCCTTGGCCCCGCCCACAACCCTCCTTCCAAGCGGCGGCCGCGGCGGCGGCGGCGGCGGCGGCGGCAGCAGCGGTGGCGGGGGCGGGGCTGGCCTCACCCGGAATGAAAACAAACGGCGGCCGCCGGCGCATCCGGGCACTCTGTTGGTCGCAGCGGGCGCGGCGTGGCGCAGGTGAGGACCCGGCGGCCGAGTGTCCCCGACCCCAGTCTCAGCAGCGCTGCTCGGCGCCCCGGTTCCCGGTCCGACTGGGCACCTCTCCTGGCGGGGGTGGAGCGGCCGCGGGGCTGGGGTCAGCGGCCATGCGTGAAGCTGGGCCGGGGCCGGGAGCGGCGGGTCGGGCTTCGGGACGCGCTGGCCCTTCGGGGCCCTTTGGTTTGCGCTGAGTTAGGCACAGGTGTGGGGTATTTAAAAGAAAATGTTGAGTGTATTGATTTGGGGAGAGAAAGGAATAAATATATCTATAAAAAATTAGCCAAATGCTATACTTGAATCGTAACACTTACTCCGAGTATACCATTTGGGATTTATTTGCAATCAAAGCCAGATTTTCTTTGCTATTTAATGACGAGACACTTGATTTTCTCGAACCTTGACGACCTGATTCTATTACTCTCACCTCCTTCCCTTTTATTTTTAATCAAGAATCTTTCATTTTCCTACATATTTTCGTAAGAAAAAATGAATGTGTCTTGACTAGATATAGTTGTGCTTCAACTGTATATAATGTATAGTTGAAAAACTGTGGCTAAAGGTAGCATTGATTGATTCATTACAAAAGTGAAAGTGAAATTTTTAAAGGATCGTTATAACGTTTCACTTTCTGTTTGGAGCAGGGAGTGGTTTTAATGAGTTTCGTCTTTTCTTGGTTACAATGTGAAACATTGTATGGCATGCATGAAACTTTTTCAGTTCTCATTTCAGTTAAAATTAAAAGCTGACTTATTAAACTTAAAATATGTCACCACTTACTCTGTTGTCTGTAACTGAAGTTTCCTAAGTTTCAAGATAGTGGTTTAATTTTTTTTAACATTAAATCCTATTAGGTGTAGACCCTGGACCTGTTGTTTGCTCCCTGGAGTGTCTGACACGCACTAGGTTTGTAATACTCCTTTGTCCTTCTGTCAAGTGGTGGCTTGGATGGCATCTTTTTAAAAATTTTTATTTGTTTATTTTTTTAGTAGAGACGGGGTTTCACCATGTTGAGCAGGCTGGTCTTGAACTCCTGACCTCAGGTGATCCGCTGGCCTCGGCCTCCCAAGTGCTGGGATTACAGGCGTGAGCCACTGCACCCGGCCGTGGATGGCATCTTTGAGTACCGCATCAGCCTTTCAAATTGCTTGGCTCCAGTAACCAACCTGTGAAATTACTGTCCCCCAGTGGGGAAACAGTAGGGTTGCTGTGATATTTTATTCAGAATTTCTGAAGATTCATGAGTAGTATGTAAAGTAGTCTTTTAAGTTATTGGTGTTTGAAAAGCTAACGCTTTAAGTACTAATATGCTTTGCTGTGATAAGCTGTTTGTCAGTGCTTGAAAATGGAGGATTCTCCCATGGGCCACCCAGGTTGCACACATCAACTTCCTTGGCTGTGTTATTCCTTCCTCTCTTTTCTCCTCTCTGTCCTGATTAACATAATTCTTGTCCCCCGCACTGACATCAAATAGATTTGAACTTTCTTTAAACAAATATTTGTTTATGAAATACACAAGCTACCAAACTTGATTTCAAAGTTGCGTGAATTGGGTTTGGGGGGATGTGGAATACTGGCCCTCAATAGAAAAAAGAAATTTATCTCAATAATATTAACTCATATTTTTTCCACTCTCTAGAATTGTCTTCATCATTCAGGGACTAATAACATTTTCTTTACTTATTGCTTGTGTGATTTGGTAAACCTTAAAGCGCTGTGCTACCCCTGCCAGCTGCCTCACATCTCAGCTGCCTCACATGCATCTTTGAATTGCTGTGCTAGTGTGGGATAAGTAGACAGCTCCATCGTGGCATGTACTTCTCTGGGAGAGAAAAGTTACATACCTGAAACAGGCAAGCAGCAAGGGACTCCACGACAGAAGTTCAGAGTCCAGTATTGTGGGTGGAAGTTACGCTCAATTTGATGCTGCCTGATTTTGTGTCTTTGCCTGAGTCATGGCACAAACTCAGGGCCCTGGTTTTCTCAGCTGTAAAATGATCCAATCAGTGTTAGATTTGAATAGTAGATGTGCTGTTAGGCTGTTAATCAGAAAATATGCAACATTTTTCTAGTATTGTAATCTTTTTAATTTAAAAAATTCTGACATAGAAAATATTTATATATTTATTATTATTTTGAGACGGAGTCTCACTCTGTTGCCCAGGCTGGAGTGCAGTGGTGCCATCTCGGCTCACTACAACCTCTGCCTCCTGGATTCAAGCGATTCTCCTGCCTCAGCCTCCTGAGTAGCTGGGTTTACAGGTGCCTGCCACCACGCCCGGCTAATTGTTCATTTTTTGTTTGTTTGTTTGTTTGTTTTAGTAGAGATGGGATTTCACCATGTTGGCCAGGCTGATCTCGAGCTCCTGATCTCAACTCCTGAACTCAGCCTCCCAAAGTGCTGGGATTACAGGTCTGAGCTACCACGCCCACCTGAAAATATTTATTATTGATAGTTTACAGTTCAAGCAAGCTTTTCTTTATATTTAACTACCAGGATGATTGGCCTTTTGTTTTATGTGAAACTAGCCAAAGTATGAGAGAATTTACAAGCTCACACCTGTAATCCCAGCATTTTGAGAGACCAAGGTGGTGGATCACTTGAGGTCAGGAATTTGAGACCAGCCTGGCCAACATGGCGAAATCCCATCTCTACTAAAAATATGAAAATTAGCTGGGTAGGCGTGGTAGTGCACACCTGTAATCCCAGTGACTAGGGAGGCTGATGCAGGAGAATGGCTTGAACCCAGGGGACAGAGGTTGCAGTGAGCCGACATCACACCACTGCACTCGAGTCTGGGCAACAGAGCGAGACTCTGTCTCAAAAAAAAAGAAAAAAGTTCACCACTCGAGGGATTTATCTTTCTTGTATTTTCTCTTTTCTCTTAGATAAGAGAATAGCGGATTAAGAAATAGCAAACGTGTAATAATCCTTGCTACATATTGGCGACTTTGAAATACATGTTTTATGTATGTAATATATATAATTGAACATATATTTCCATGTATATTTTTAGAGAAGTCTGGAGCTTGTTTAAACCATAGTAATTTATATTTAATGAGAGAAGAAGGGAGCTTTGCTTACCCAACAAAACACCTTAACATGTAGGTAAGTTATTAACACTTTAAAATGCAGTGTGGAGTTTTATTATTGTATTGTTTTGCTTTCAGGGATGGCACAAAAGAAATACCTTCAAGCAAAATTGACCCAGTTTTTAAGGGAAGACAGGATTCAGCTTTGGAAACCTCCATATACAGATGAAAATAAAAAAGTTGGTTTGGCATTAAAGGTATTTTTCTTTTAAGACATCAATAATTGGCAGCATTATAAATCTCCTTGGTAAATAAGATTCTGAATTGTCAGGCATGACCATATAAACTTTTGGCATAACCAAAAGCATTAGTGGTGAGCAGGTACCCACTTTTTACTAGGAATTGACAACCTTATTTTTGTTTACTAATATTTTATTCACATAAGGATGTTATCTAATTTTTCAGGCATATATTTTTAATACCATCACAGAATTACATAACATTATTATCTGGAACTCATTTTGACCCATTAGTGCAACAGTATTGGTGCCAGTAAGTTATTGCATTGTGTATTCAGAGTGACAGTGTCTTGGCTCATTCTCGGTCCTCCTTGCTATCATCTGCTATAAAACAATTGCTCCTTTCCACCAGTTTTCTTGATGCTCTCACTATCAGTGTTCATTTTTCCAAAATAGGTTTTCTTCTAACAGTTGTATCTCAATTTTTCATGGCATCATCAGAAATGGTATTGTATGTAAGTGATGTTTCTAGAAACTGAAGTGTGCTTGTTTTTCTAAGCAGATAAACAGTACTCACTTTTGCCAGAAATTATCATATTGGAATTTCCTAGCATGTACTTCTCTGCTATCATTTGGAGTATCCTGAACATGATGTAACATTTATCAGGGACTAGGGATTGTCATCAGGCATTGAATTGCTCTGTGTTGTGACATAATAATGTGCTTGGGAGGTGACAAACTGTATTAGGGTCCTAGTTTTTCTGTTTCTTTTGTTCCAGGCAGGCCTCACTTTTTCTTTGCAACCCACCTTCCGACCTTGCTTCTGAATTTACTTGTTATAGTCTCTTGGTTTAGAAACTAGGTGTGGCATAAAGGAAAGATATTTGTCCCTGGTTCCTGGCAGAGCCAAAACTCTTGGGATTTCCTGAGTGGTAAGCATGATGGGGACAACCTTTGTTCTAATGAGGCTTGGTTTCCCCTAGATAGCTTCAGGATGGGGCTGGTCACCGAAAGTACCCAGCTGTGATTAGACACTTGAAACTTTCCGCCCTCCCCTCCAACCTCTGGGAAGGGAAAAGTGAGCTGATGACTAATACTAATGGTCAGTGATTTAATCAGGCCTGCATAATGAAACTTCCATACAAACCCCTAAATGACAGATTTTGGGCAGCTTCCAAATTGGTGAACACATCCACATGTTGAGATGTACACCCCCAAGTCCATGGGACAGAGGCTTCTATGCTCAGGGCCCTTCCAGATCTTGCTTTAGTACCTCTTCATATGAATAGTCATTTGTGTCCTTTGTAATGAACTATATTTGTAAGTGTACCATTGTCTGGAGTTCTGTGAGTTGTTCTAGCAAATCATGGAATCTGAAGGGGGGTGCTTGTGTGAACCCTCGACTTTGTAGCTAAGGCAGACAAAAGTATGGATAACCTGGGGACCAGATCCTTGGTA